CCAGTCGTCCTCATCCTCGGGAACGGGAACCACGTCCTCGACCTCCGCGGCCCGCCGGTCTGCCGCACGGGCAGCCAACTCCGACTTCGCAGTCGCCAGCGCTTCCTGCGCCTTGGACTTGACGCGGAAAACCGCCTCCGCCGTCGGAGTCCCCGACGGGGGCTTCCAGCTGTCGCGCGGGAAGATCGGCATCGAGTAGCGCCCGCCGTCGGTCTCGTTCAGCCGCTTCGGCGTGATGCCGAGCCGGCCCGACTTGAACGAGTCCTCCGCGAAGTTGATGTCTGCGCCCATGCCGCGCAGAGCGCCCTTCCCGATGAGCAACTGCAGCACCGAGTCCTCGATGACCGAGAGGGCCAGGTAGGCGCCCGCGCCGAAGACCGACGCCGGCACCGCCCAGCGTTCCTTGGAGCTCTGCTTCCAGCTATTCCCGAAGCGGAAGATCGCGAGCTGCGGCTCCTTCTTGATGTAGTTTTCGATGCTCAGCTCCTTGCACCGATCCTCGAGCCTATTGGCGTACACGTCGCCCGACACCGTGCTGTTGCAGGCTGAGTCGAGCGCGCCGTCGTCTCCTTGGCCCCCGATGGATGCCGATGAAAACAACACCTCCTGAATGGCTCGCTCGTCACTTGGCCCATCCGAGGGCATCGGGCCGGCAGGAGAATGGGGGCGCAGCCCAGCACCAAGACCTGGGCCATCCGCCGACCCTGCGCTATGGTCGACGGAAGAAGAGGGGGCGCCACTCCCCATCCCAGGAATCGGCCCATCTGCCCAACGGAAGAAGAGGGGGCACCACTCCCCATGCCAAGGACTTGCGTCGCCATCAGGACTTCATACGAACGAGTCGTGCTCGCCAAGGCGCCATCCTCTGCTGCCGGCTGGCCGGCGCCCTCGTAGATCTCTGCGTAGCCCCGCCCGCGCATCGCGCACCGGACATCACGCTCGTCTCCCTCGTAGACGCAGTCCGGGCAGAACGGCGGGTAGTCCAAGTGACTGCGCTTGATGTCCGTCTCCTCCGTCGCTGTCACCTCGAACGCCGGCGTCGCGCGCTGCTCGTGCCCGAAATTGCTGGTCATCAGCACCTCGAACGCGTCCTTCTGAATCATTGTTGTCTGCGCGTCCAGAACTTCTGGCGCCTGCAGCAAGTCCACCACCATCGCGTTTTTCGGCTTGAACCACTGCTGCAGCTTCTTCTTGGCCTGTTCGGCCTTCCACTCTTTGAGCTTCGGGCAGCACGCGTCACCGGCCCAGTGACCCTTCTCGCCGCAGGCGTGGCAGTCCGAGTTCTTCTTGTCGGGGCTGCTCTTACCGAAGCTCGTCATGAACTTCTTGCCGCTGCTCGAGCTCGAACCTGAGCCTCTGCCACCGCCCTTGCCGCCAAACTTGCGGTCCTTACGAAGCTCCTTCATGCGCTTCTTGCTCCCCCGGATCGTGATGAGGCCCTCCATCATCGATTCCACGCCGCTCCTGGGCCAACTCGGGATCGTTCTCGGCCTCCTCGAGCACCGTCGAGAGCGCCTCCAGCAACGCGGCGAGGATGCCCTCGATGTCCTGGTCCTGCTCGGTCGTCAGCACCTCGTCCACCGTCTCGTCGTCAGCGTCACCGTCGAAGCGGCCGAGCTCCGCATTCAGCGCCTCGAGCTCGCCCTCGTCTAGCTGGCTGAGCCCGTCGAGGTCCTCCGTCACACGTGCTTCCTTGAACTTCCGAATTACCTTCTTCTTCAAGAGCTGCGTCCCCGGACGGTTGAAGGCGATCGTCCTCCTGCTGCGGTCGAACGCGCTAGGTCGCCGCTCAGTCATGCGCAGATTGGGGAGCACCCGCATCATGGCTGGCACCACCTCGCGAATCTCCATGCTGCCGCCAGTCGAGGTCATCAACATACTCTTCTGCGTCTCGTTCAGGCCGATCTTCTCGATCAGCCACCAACCCGCCGTTCTTGGCGGCAGGGCCACATCCTCTTCGTCCAGCTGGCTACGAGCTTCACCGAACCTGATCATCCACGCATTCAAATCCTCGCCGGCTCTGCGATGCAGCTGCTTATAGAAGTAGTTCATCACCTGGCCGCGCCGCGTCGGTTCGTCAACCCCCATCGTCACGAGCACCTCCATCAGCCTGTTGATGCCCGCCATGCTGTCGGGCTCCTCCCAATGGCCGGGCCCCTCGTCGTGCTGCTGGTTCTCCGTCTCCTCGGCCTCGGAGTTGCCCGTCGCCTCGTCGCGCGCCCAGGTCCAGGAGTTCGCGCGCAGCTCCACCATCGGGATCGACTCCCCGAGCGTCTTCGCGGGGTCGGTCAGGCAACGCACCATCCTGGCCGCCCAGCTCCAGGAAACATCCAGGTTGATACCTTCGATCCACAGCGCCACATCCTTTTTGTACCGCCGCCACTTGTTCGGGCTGCCATCCCAGCTAGGTATGCCCTCCAGGTCGCGGTTCGTCCATGCCGGCGTCCACGCCGGCCCCTGCACCCAGCTGGTGGAACTCCGTCTTTCCTGCCAGGTGCCGCTGCCTCCGCCATGCCGCGGCGGAAGGGCGTCCGGTGAGAGCGTGCCGCCGCCCATCGCCGGGAACCGCCCTGGAGTCGATGACGGCCTCATCGCCCCTCGTCGTAGTAACGTACTCGATCTCGTACTCGTAGAAGTCGCACTTCACGTCGTCGCCGCCCTCGTTCAGCACAGAACTCTCCTGGCAGCCGCTGCTCTCCGCGTCTATGGCGCGCCTCAGCGCTCCGCTACCACTGCGGAACCGAGGGGGACAAGACTCCTGCCTCTCCCAGGTCCGCAGCGGGGTCTGGCGGCGGGGCGTGGCAGCGCCCGAGGGGCAGATAGTCTTTCTCACTCTCGCGCTCACGCGTCTGTAGCACGATTTCGCCTCAAGCCGGCTCGAGCCGAGCCGGTTGCAAGAAAGAAAAAGAGGAAAGAGGGATAGAAGGGAACAGGAGAGGGTCATAAGGGACTGAAAGGCGGGAGCAGGGGACAAATCCAATCAGAAAGGCACGTTTTTCCTCACAGACGATGGGCCTGTTCTCCACCACCACCACCACGAGTTGGATGGGGGGGAGAAGGAGGACGAGGAGGAAGAGGAGGACAAAGAGGAGGAGGAGGACAAAGAGGAGGAGAAAGAGGAGGAGGAGGCGGAGGAGGAGGAGAGGGAGGAGGACCCCCTCCCCCTCCAGCTCATGGAGGTGGTGGCGGAGAACGGGCTCAGCAACCGGCTCTCTCTTTAGCAACGCCACCGCCGCCAGCATGGGCCGTTCCCGACTCGCCCTTTCCCGCTGTTCCGCGGCCAGACGTACGCGATGTGCCTCCGGGCGCTTCACGATGTTCGGGTGTTGCTAGCAGTACCCCTGGCCCCAGGTACGCTTAGGATTCTCGGGGTGGCCAAGACGGCCTCCAGGGCACCCCTCAAGAGGCCCAGAGGGCCACAGGGGCTCAAAAGTGGAGCGAAAAGCTGGGGGCACCGTGGGCCACGGGGAACTTCTAGCAACACCCAAGATGTTGTCGAGCATGCTCGACCACCGGAGCGAGACAAAAAGGCTTGTTCGGAGCTTTTTGGCGCCAGACGCGAGCTCCTCGGTGCGCATCTGGAACTCCTCCTGGTCGCCCTGGCTGATCTCTGCGTCGGGCCTGAGGTCGTCGAGCGTCTGGCTGAAATCCATGATCTGCGCGAGCTCGACATTGCCAGAGGCCGAACCCTCCAGCTTGAGCGAAGGCACGCCAGGCTGAGATCCCGCAGACTCCACCCTGGCCGAGCTCTGCAGCTCCACGAGAGGACCCCTTGTAGGCCTGGTCTGCTGCCGTGACTGCTTTGCACAGATCCCGTAGCGAATCTTCAGCTTCGATGAGTTGCTCGCGAAGCCTAACCACACACGGCAAGGAACCCTCCATCAGCTTCTCCTACTCTCTAACATGAGCATGCGCCTGCTGCATCTTCGTATGAGTAGAAGTTGAACGAGACGAGCTGCCATTTCAAGGTGCCGCGCCATGCCAAGATAACGGCTAGCCGCTCCTCTACCCTCCGGCTGAAGCGATGCACCAAACGCCTTGGCCTCCCCGGCGGAAATGGCCGGGACTTGGCCCACAGGAAGTGGCGGGGTGCTTCCTCCAGCTCCATCAGCTTGCTCATCACCATTTCCTACACCAGAACGCCACTGCGAGACACCGCAGCCGTACCAGACTTTACCCATGCCTTTGCCACAAAAGCCCTTGCCTCAGTAGCCGCCTTTGCCGAAGTACAACTAATTTTCTGCGGGCGCACCCTTGCCAGCAGCCTGTTTACCACCATTGTTCGGTCCGTGCCAGCATCCAGGAGGAGAGATGACCGCTGTCCAGCAGCCACCGGCAGCAGGAGCAGGGTGACCACCAGGAGACATGCGAAGGAGCGAGCACGAGCAACGCTTGCACATTATGGTTTTAGGATGATTCCTCTTGCAAGCGTAGAACGGACACGCCATGCTGGTGGCCTTGGGTTTGCCTTTTTGTATTCCCTTTCGTGTTCCACCAAGACACACCCTGGGCGTCATCCCCAACTGCGATCCACAATTGATACGAACCATCGTCAAAGTGAAAAGAAAAGAGTCGGTACCGTACACGGAACGTAATTGAGAAAAACAAGCCTGGCAATGAAGCCAGGGGAGCAGTCAGGGGCCGCGAAAATCCCCCACATCACATGGACAAATTCGTGAGCGAAACGCTACGGACTTGAGCCAAAATGGCTACGGAGCCCCCTCCTGCCGCTCCCTGCCCCCTTCTCCTCCCCCTTCGCCCCCTTCTTCCCGCTCGCTCCTCCTCCCTCCTCCTTCCCCTCCTGCCCTTCCCTCCTCCCCCCTCCCGCTCCCTCTCCCTCTCCCTCCTCCCTCCTCCTCCCCCTCTCGCCTGCTCCCTCCCCGCCCCTCCCCCCCCCCTCCCCCCATCCTCCCCCCGCCCCCGCTCCCGCCGACGCCCCCCTCCCCCTCCGGGCTCCTCTCCACCCCTCGCGCCAGCGAGGCAGCCGCGGCGTGCGGCGCCTCCCGCGCCGCCGAGCCCGCGGGGCCCCCGCGCGCCGAGCCGCGGGCCGCCAGCTGCCGGGCCTCCGCCGGGCGGGCGCGGAGGAGGGCGGGGCGCCGCCGTGGAGCTGCGGGCCGCGCACACGCAGAGCTCCCCAGGCAGCCCCGGCGAGCCTCCAGGCGGGGCTTCGCAGACGAGGGCTGAGTGCGCCCCCGTGTGCTCTGCCCCCGTCTGCGGCGCCCAGGCCACCCCAAACGGGGGCAGAGCCGAGCGTGGAAGTCGGAGTTCCCCGTGCCCCCGTTTGCTGTGCCACGCGTCTGTAGCGCCCTGATCGAAAGGCCCCCCCGAGTAGCCCAGGGCAGTCTCCACATCTCAACCCTGGGGCGCGGAACGCCCCAGGGGCGCCGCCAGAGGCGGCGCCAGGGTGTTGAGACCCCAGACGTCCTCCTCATCCGCCTCCTTCGTTTCCTCCTCCTCCTCCTCCTTTTCCTCCTCCTCCTCCTCCTATCCTCCTCCTCCTCGTCCTCCTCTTCGTCCTCCGGTCTCCCGACGTTCCTGCGTGCGCATTTCCCCGACGCATTGCCACCAACAAGACGGTACTGGAAGATGCCACGGAGATGCGAATGATCTGGCTTGGATAACGTACGCCGCTGACAACCCTGACGAGTGGCACTCTGTGATGAACGAGTTTTGCAAAATCTGAGGACTACGGCCCCATGCGCCCGTCTCCAGGTGGGTTTGTTCTTCTCGACCGCATGGCGTCTCGCTCGCTTGCTCGCTCCTCTTCGTCCTCCTTCTCTTCCTCCAGCGAGTGACTCATGTGCTCCTCCTCCTCCTCCTCCTCCTCCTCCTCCTCCTCCCCATCTTCCTCCTCCTCTTCTTCTTCTTCCTCCTCCTCCTCCTCCTCCTCCTCCTCCTCTCCTCCCCCTCCTCCTCCTCCTCCTCCTCCTCCTCCTCCTCCTCCTCCTGATGGCGGCAGTGTTAGGATGATCCTCGTCCTCCTCCTCCTCCTCCTCCTCCTCCTCCTCCTCCTCCTCCTCCTCCTCCCATCCTCTTCATCCCCCTCCTCCTCAGCACCCGTCCTCTCAATCCCCCCTTCCTCCTGCCGAAGGGCGGTTCTAGCGCTCAGTGGCTGCGCTGGTCACCCAGGTACGGATGTTGCTAGTCAAGCGCCCAAACTTTTAAAATCAGCCCTGGAGGGAGGGACGCGCCGGCTGTGGCCCGCAAGCACCCGAAGCCAATATCGAGCCCTCCTCCCCCTCCTCCTTCCCTCCCTCCCTTCCCTCCCTCCCTCCCTAGAAAGGCCCAGGGCCACCCGAGTGGGTCCCCAACCCCGTCACATAGGGGGACCCCCAGGCGTTGGGGTTATGGTCCCAGGTCCCTAGCCACAGAAAGCGCCACCTGCCGGACACACCTCTTGAAGAACTGGTCCCGCGGCTTTGCGCCGCGAAGTCTAAGTTTTACTAATTCACTGAATTATGCAAGGAGACAGACAGGAGGAAACGGAGGGGCGAGGAAAAAAAGGGAGGCGAAGCGCAAGGCGCGTGCGGCTGCAAGGGCGGCCCGGCAGGGGCAGGGAGAGGATAGGAGAGGGGCGGCCAGGGGCGGGGGCGGTCGGGTCGGTGATGATAGTGGCAGTGGTGGTGGTCATGGCACCGTCGCGCTGGCAGTGGTCGTGGTCGTAGTGCTGGTCGGCGGTGGTCGCGGTGGTGAATGTGCCAGCGCTGGTCGTGGTCACGGCGTCGATGGTCGTGGGGTCGTCGTGTTCAGAGTCGTCGTCGTGGTGGTGGCGTCAGTGTGTGTCGTGTTGTTGGCGGTCGTGGTGGTCTGGGTTCGTGGCTGTGGCCGCGGCCGCTTGTGGTGGTCACTGCGCAGGCGGCGCTCGCGGTGGACCATCCACCTCTTCCTCCCTCCCCCTCCTCCTCCTCCGCCTCCTTATCCTCCTGCTCCTCATCCTCCTCCTTCTGGTCCCCCTCATCCTCACCT